TCTATTTGTAGACAACTTCATTTTATATGTAGGAAACCCTTAAGATTCCAAAAAGAATATGACTAGAAAAAGGAGGAGGATTACATTTGGGGGATAGGCATTGTGGCATACACCTGTAATCCCAGCTACTCAGGAGGCTGAGGCAGGACTGCTCGAGCCAGGGAGTTTGAGGTTGCAGTGAGCTATGATGACACTACTGCACTCTAGCCTGGGCAGTAGAGCAAGATCCTATCTCAAAAAAAGAAAAAAATTACAATTGGGAAGTTACTTGTTAACATAAATCTGAGGGACTTGCCTATCTATATGAAATTTATAGATATGGTTGTGAAAACGAGTCCTATAAAAAAAATCAGTGTGATCATGTTCCTCTCTCCCTACCAACCCCTTTCATTTAAAATGTGTTCTGATTTTTTTGTTGCTAGATACAGAGTCTTGCTTTGTCACTCAGGCTAGAGTGTAGTGGTGTGTGACCATAGTTCACTGCAACCTCAAACTCCTGGGTGATCTCCCTGCCTCAGCCTCCCAAGAAGCTTGGTGTGCCCGACTAATTTTTTTTTTAATTGTTTTGTAGAGATAGGGTCTTGCTGTGTTACCCAGGGTGGTCTCGAACTCCTGGGCTCAAACAATCCTCCTGCCTCAGCTTCCCAGAGTGCTAGGATTACAGGCACGAACCACTGTGCTGAGCTGCAAAAATGTATTGACCGGCATCTTTTTAGGAATAAACTGTTGCTTAAAAATGAGTTTTTAGGAGTAGTTACTCTGTGGTTTTCCCTGTGTACATGGCAAATAAATTTTATGCTTTTTCTCAAAAAAAAAAAAAAAGATTTTCCATTATTCATCTCCAGCTGTTGTCGATATTTACTATTACTAACATTTTATAGTTGAGAAACAATTACTTGAATTTTTCCAACTTAAATATAACACATTAAAAATGTTAGAAAATCAAGGTGTAGCAGTGCTACCTTGGTCGTATTTAGTCAATTTCTCCATTTGACATGCTATTCTCCTTGTAAAATAAAACCTTTTTATGGTTGTTTGCCATTTACTGCCTACTCATGTATTCATGCCACTAAATCTGAGCTATGCCAATTTATTAAACTATTGAATTTTATTACGTTTTTCTTTTTTTTTTCCTTAAACCTGGCTTAAAGTATAAAGAATTTTAGAATGAAGAAATTGAGTACTATTTAAAATTCTTAGACTATGTCAGGGACTGTGTCTATATTGCTATTTTTGTTTTATCCCATTATACCCATAATAGTAATTGAATCACTGTCTTTTTTTTTTTGAGACAAAGTCTCACTCTGTTGCCCGGGCTAGAGTGCCATGGTGTCAGCCTAGCTCACAGCAACCTCAAACTCCTGGGCTCAAGTGATCCTCCTGCCTTAGCCTCCCGAGGAGCTGGGACTACAGGCATGCGCCACCAGGCTAATTTTTTCTATATATTTTTAGTTGTCCAAGTAATTTTTTTCTATTTTTTAGTAGAGACTGGGTCTTGCTCTTGCTCAGGCTGGTCTCGAACTCCTGAGCTCAAAGGATCCGCCCGCCTTGGCCTCCCAGAGTGCTGCGATTACAGGCATGAGCTGCCGCCCCCGGCGGAATCACTGTCTTAAGAATTGAAAAGGATGTCTTTAAATACATTTGAAGTGGAAAGCACAGTATACTGTCTGGAGACCCAAGTTTGAATAACATGGCATAATGGAAAATAGAGGCTGTAGACCTAAACACATTTGGTTTGAAATTCTAGCTCTGCTTATTGTTTCCTGTGTGGTTTTAGGCAAGTCACTTAATAGTTTTAGTCTCCTTGTCTCTAAAATGAAGGTTATGTCACCTTAATTTCAGGGCTTTTTAAAGAATGAGTGTCCATAAATGTGAAGCATGACTGCCACATGCTAGGCACTCAGTAAATCATTGCTGTTGTTGGAGTAGCTAGCTCTGGACTTAATTCTAACTCATTCTGTAATCTTGGACAAGCCATTTTAATCTTGGGTTTAGTTGCCTTAGCTGCCCAAAGGTGATATCATATACTTTGAAGAGACCAGAGTAAGGTAATGAATATAAAAATACTTTGAAAAGTATAAAACATTTAATATATGGTAAGTGTGACATTCCCAAACAGTGGAAAAAACACTAATATTTGACAGTGTTATCCAAAAATAGGAAAACTAACCAACCATTTAAGAAGATAGTAAAGCTGGATCCTTATGTCTTTTCATCTAATTAGATTTCACATTGATCCCAGAGATTTTAATGTAAAAACATAAAATATGATTAAAAATGCATGTGCAAATGATAGAAGTATTATTAAAAGAGGAGAGTGGATTTTAACGTAATCTCTGGATGGAAAAGACCATTCTGGGTATTACATAAAAACTACAATAAATAGAGGAACAGATTGATAACTTAGACTTTGTAAAAAATTTAGGTAATCTCTGCAGCAAGGAAAAAATGACAAAGGAAGAAAATATCAGCCAGAGTGACAGAGTTAACACCGTGAATATAAAAAGACCTATTTTGCAAATTTGTAAGAAGTAAGACAACCCAGTAGAGAAATGGACAAAAAACTGCAAATAGGGAATTCAGGACAAAAAATATATGGCCATTATAATGAAAAATTCTCAACTTTACCAATAATTAAACTCAGTTTCTTACTATCACATTGGCAACAGTATGGGGGGAGGCGATATACTCT